TGGACTGAGATAAAGGTACATATGTGGTTTTTGTTATTTGCTTTATCTTGATGATAATATGTTTTTAAATTTCTTTTACTAACACACTTTATGCGTATGTTTTTTTGTAGAGGTCTTTTAACATTGAAGATACCCGTAAAAAGTATATAATGGGTTTGGCTGGAAAAAGACACAGAGGGTGGAGAACATTTTTAACAAACAAGTATCTTAAAGATGATGAAGGAAATTTTCTTGAAGAGGATCCGGAACGTCCAAAGAAATATGAGAACTTCATTACACCTGAAGAATGGGTTGGTTTTGTAGGCCAAAGAAGAGACGAGAATTTCAAGAAAGTGAGTGCTATAAATCGCGAGAGAGCGTCAAAACCCGCATATCCATACAAAAAAGGGCGTTTGGGATATGCTAGCTTAGAGGAAAAAATTGTAAGTAAATATAAACTCTACGATCTTATTAATTCTCTCAATGTGTTATAATTGATGATCTTAAGACTTGTATCAATGCGTAGTTAGAAGAGACGAAAAGTGACGCAACATCACTACCGACATATTTGTTGTGGAAGGAAGCCCGTGTGGGCAAGGATCAAGTTGTTAATCCCGATATTCAACATGTGTATGATGAATGTGTAAGTATAAGATTGTGTCTTTAGTTAAATCAATTAATGTTTATTAATATTTAAATAATTTTTTATCTCCACTAATAATTTTCGATATGTAAATGAATTACAGGAGACCTTGTCGCAATCGGTATCCCCAGGTGAGGATCATCAGGATACCAGGAGCGTACTTAGTCGAGCACTAAATATTGCTGAGTATCCGGGTCGGGTGAGGGGTAAAGGTCATGGTGTGACTCCAACCTCTTTGTATAAGCATCCAAGGAGAAGAAATCCTAGCAATGCAGAAGTGATGCAAACATTGCAGGATTTACAAGCTCAAGTCCGTGAATTGCAGAAGGATAAAGAGAGATATATGGCGGAAAAGAGCAGTTCACAATTGAAAGAAACTAGTGACAAAGCTAGTATCAACTGTTATCATAAATTTCCCGAGGTAATTTTCAATATATATCCGTTATTATTATAGAATATTTTTAGTCACTTATAACGGTTTTTATTGGTTTAGGGCATTTCATCTTGCCATCTATACCTATCGTCGCCGACTTATCGACTAGTTGGCAAGGGAAAAGTCCATAACACTTCGGGAGATTTACTTCACCAAAGACCGCTTCCGGATGGACACATGAAAGTATCGGTTGGCATTGCTTTAGATATGGATGCGTTGCTGTCGGTACCTGACATTGTTGCTGAGACCACATTGTTGCGAGATGCAATAGGATCTTTTGTTGCATGGCCATCGGACCTCATTTTCATATATGATCAGGTATGTTGAAAACAATTATGAATCTTTAAGTCTTCAACTGTCAGTTCTGACCTCAGTTATTTCCACGGTAATTATAGACTCCTATAACACCCGCATCTAAGGGTAAAGGGATTTTGCGGCACGACGAGTCTGATGTATCACAAAAAGAGGTACGTTTAAAGTGTTAATTATATGATCCGAATAAAAAACTGCATAATTTTATAATTTAACTGAGTTTATATGATTTTTAGGTACCTTTTCAAGGGTCACAACAAGTGATCCAGAAAATCATTGGCGTACCACCCAAGAAAAGGGTGCCTACTAGATTTTTCCCTCGATACCGGCAGTGTCTTGAAACAATAGTGAGAACAACAAATTTGATGGATGGTGGTATTCGTCAAATGGATATGGATCAAGGTATCTTTGGTTTTCCTTGCACTGAAATAATTGGACATGAGGACGTGGAACAGATTTTCCGTCATAAAGAATTGGGCGTCAGTATTATGCACGCATACATCCGGTAACCCCATCTTTATATTATGTAATTAGCTGAAATCTTTTTTAAACATTTCAATGAATATAGTCTAATATTAATTATGTTTTTATTTAAGGCTGTTATATGACAAATTGATGCGCGGGAATCAATTGTCAAACAGATTCCATTTCGTGTCTTTCTCCCGTGTCAGCGGAGCGACAATTGGTAGGGAACCGAAATCAGTAAGAGAGCACTTAGTCGAAAGATTCATGGCAATTGGCAGTACAGAAAGCTTATGTCTTTGGGCGTATAATACTATTCCTACAGGGTTAGATTTTCATTCTAAGTTCATTTTAATATTTGTAATTTTTACGTAGAAAAATTTCTTCTAAACTGTTGTTTTAATTTATAGACGTCACTGGTTGTTGGTTGCTATCGATCCTATAAAAGAAGTGGTCTATTATCTGAATTCGGTTGACGGTGATTGGACAAATTATCCGAATATGAAGTTAATGATTGATACGTAAGTGAGATTATTCTAAATATTTGTGTGTATTTATATATTTAATTATTTCTGTGACATTGTTCTAAATATATATTTTTATTTTGTTAGAGCGATACAAGTATTCTGGTGTCAAAGAGAAGCTCGGGTACAATGGTCTAAATCAAACAACATTAATTGGATCAAAGTGCAGGTATATTAATTTCCACTATTTTGCTTATAATATTTATGCTATTTGATAAAACAATACAACTATATATTCTTATTTGTTTTTCTATGTAGTGTCCTCAACAGCAAAACGGTATAGATTGCGGATACTTCGTTATGCGGTTTATCAAAGAAATCATTCAACTGAATCAAATAGAGATTCCAGTCACGGTATGGATTTATAACTTATGATTTGTTTTATTATTTCTCGGATATTTCATATAATTTTTTACTTTTAACTAAATCATGCATATTATGTTTTGTTATGTAGTACTTCGATGAGTACAAATGTGCATATTACACGAAACTTCAGTTGGAAGAAATCAAAGAGGAATTGTGTCAATATTTTATTGAGCAGAGAATCATATAAGGACTGGTTTAGTTGTTGTTAGGGTTGATTTTGTAAGACTGATTTTGAGTTACAATGTTGATAACAATGGTTTATATATATTTTGAGGTACAAAAATGGTGTATATATATTTTGGATTACAATGGTATACAATGCATTACCGCTGTTTATGAATTACAGGTTATGACAACTGGTTTATATAAATAATATGCTGCAAACAATGCAGGTATATGAATTATATAAATTATACCTCTAAAAAAAACACCATATGAAAGCGCTTTTTGAAGAAAAACGCTGCCTTAGGTAGACCTATGAAAGCGCTTTTTCACATAAAGCGCTGTCTAAGGTAAACATATGACTGCGCTTTTCCAAGCAAAAGCGCTGCTAAAAGACAACCTATGAAAGCTCTTTTCCAGAAAAAAGCGCCACCTTAGGTAGACCAATGAAAGCGCTTCTTCATAAAAAAGCGCTGTCAAAAGCCTACTTAAGAGAGCGCTTTTTAGAAAAAGCGCTGCCAAAAACCTACTTAAGAAAGTGCTTTTTAGAAAAAGCGCTGCCAAAAGCCTACTTAAGAAAACATTTTTTAAAAAAGCGCTGCCAAAAGGCTACTTAAGAGAGCGCTTTTTAGAAAAAGTGCTGTCATAGATAGACCTACGAAAGCGCTTTTCATTAAACAAAAAGCGCTGTTAAAACCTATAGCAGCGCCACCTTAGAAAGTGCTTTTAAGCACTTTTAAAGGTCAAAAAAAGCGTTTTCGTAAGTCTTTTTTGACGTAGTGAGTATCTCACATGTTAGCACTGTTCATCGTGGAAGCCACGTTCTATTCTATTGCAATAACTATTTGTAATGTAATGAGAACCATTGACATTTTGATTTGGAATATATTAAGTTCTCAGATTGAACACAATAAAAGAAGACTATGCATTATATGATTAGAAAAAGAGACTATTCATTCCATCAAATAATAATAAAAGACTACGCATTCTATGATTAATAAAAGAGACTATACATTCCATAAAATAATAAAATAAGACTAGGCAAAGAGACCCACGATATTATCTATATTTTTGGCTAATTAACAAAAAAAAAAGATCTTTTTCTGTAATTGTGGAGTTATCGTTGCATTGATCATCACAATAGCACTCATTTTCATAGTAATTGTAGTGGTCAATTGCAATTTGAAAATCCTCAATAATTCCAATAAAATATTAATTATTTTCCTTTATTATTATTATTATTATTATTATTATTATTATTATTATTATTATTATTATTATTATTATTATTATTATTATTATTATTATTATTTATTATTATTATTATTTATTATTATTATTATTAATATTATTATTATTATATATTATTATTATTTATTATTATTATTATTATTATTATTATTATTATTATTATTATTATTATTATTATTATTATTACTATTATTATTATTATTATTATTATTATTATTATTAATATTAATTAAAAATAGTAAGAGGCAGTCTTAGGCTCTTTTTCTATAAAGTTTTTATTTGACAAATCCATAACTTTATTCTATGCAAAAAAAAAAAATCGACTTTTATTCATATTTTATATTAGATCAATATATTGGCTAACCATTGACTTCTTCATGATGCCAAAATTTTTAAACTACCAAGTAAAACATAACATCTCAAGTTATAGTCTATAAATATGTGGAACCCTGACTTTTAAAGAATACACATCTTTCCATATAAAGTTTTACCTTCACTCTAATTAAAGATGAAGATTTCCTACACTTCAAACCGACTTCTCATATTTATTATCTTCACCGCATGCTTATGCTTATTCTTTGCCATTCAGAAAAAGATACATGATAACGACTCCTCTCTATCAGATCTTAAACTTGATAAACTTCCTAATGAAGATGAAGTTTTAAAACTATTCCAACATTGGAAGAACCATCATGAACGAGTTTACAATGATCTCGATGTGATGGCAAATAAATTTGAAATTTTTGTTTCAAATTTGAAGTATATCGTAGAGACTAATGCAAAGAGAGAGTCAACTGAGAGCTCTCTTCTTGGTTTGACCGACTTTGCTGATTTGAGCTTCATGGAGTTCAAAGAAACATACTTGACCATGACCCCTGACACGGTTGATATTGTGAATGATTATGATAATGATGAGGTAACATGTAGTAACCCCCCTTCATACTTAGATTGGAGGAAAGAAGGAGCTGTCACTTCTGTTAAAAAGCAACGCACTTGTGGTAACTATAAAAATAGGAAACAAAGTTTAAATGTTGCAAATATTGTGAAAAGATTTTGATCAACTTGCGTTTTGTTTTTATTAGGTAGTTGTTGGGCATTCGCGGCTGTAGGTGCCATTGAAGGAATAGTTGCAATAAAGAAGAAGAAGCTTCAAGACCTTTCAGTAAAAGAGGTTCTGGATTGTACCCCCGAACCTAATAATTGTTCTGGTGGATCTTCGTTCGATGCGTTCAATTGGGTTATAGGAAACAAAGGATTGGCATTGGAGAGTGATTATGCTTCTTACAAGCCAGTGAAGGGTGTTTGCAAATCCAAAGAGGTTCTTAATATCAGTCATAAATATTATTTTATATATCTTTCTTACAGCTTTTTATTAATTTAACCAACTCCTTTGTTTATGAATTTTAGTCTCGGAATAGTCCAATTAGTGCCATCCATTCATTTCAGCATGTGGCCCAATCAGATGAGGCACTATTGTGTGCAATTGTTAACCAACCAATTACGTTGTATTTTTATGTCACAAAAGACTTTCAACATTACCACAATGTAAGTCGTTATATAATGTAGAGTTCTTATATATGTCCCTCCTTTATTTTGTTAAGACCCTTTAAATACCTAGGCTATATGACTATAATGGAGAACTTATGATCTATTGGCAGAAAATATATGAGGGTCCCAATTGCCCGGTTGATTCTACAGATGTAACTCACGCCATGTTAATAGTGGGTTATGGTTCAGTAGAGGAGGGTAAAGATTATTGGATCGTGAAGAATACATGGGGCAAGCGTTGGGGAAGGACTGGTTATGCGTTGGTAAGAAGGAACACTAAGAAAAAGTATGGAGTGTGTGGAATCAATGCATGGGCTTCTTTCCCAGTAAAAAATGACTGATGAAGAAAAAAAGTCAAAATAAGAGTCTAAATATGTTTCATTAAAGAATCACTTAAGTCTTTAGTTTGAAGTTTGGGTATTCTAGATGTTGTTATGAACATTTCTGTTCCTCTAAATTCCAAAGTTGTTGAGCATAAATCAATAAATCAATAAATGGTTTGTATTCTGTAATGATAAAATAATGAAAATATCACACATATATGTTTGTTCTGTTTTAACCATTAAACATTCTCTTGTAAGTATCGAAGTGAGTATAGAGCTCAATATCGTAATTGTCTAATTGATACCCTTTAATATTTAATAGATATGTTGAAATAGAAAGATTTAGGATAACAGTGTTTTTATATCTTATTTTATTAATTTATAATTTATTATTCAAACGTTATTTTAAATAATATTTTACCTTAAAGTTTATTACTTTTTATTTTTTCTTCCGTTATTACCTTTTTAAATTTTAAATATTTTAAATACACATTTAATTATTAATTAAAAAATATTTATTTATGTCATTTTACATTTATCAGTTAGTTAAACCATTAATTTTATCAAACATTTTAATTAACTTATCTGCAATCAGTCATCAACTTTCAGTTATAAGCTATAAGTTATCAGCCATGAACTATAAATTATAAACTATCATTTAATTTATCACCCAATTGTTAATTTTATCAAACAAAACCTTAACTACATCAAGATCTTCCTTTCAAAAATCTAACAATAATATTAACTTTATTGAGAGTAATGATATGTGAAAAAAAAAGAAAAATGATAGCTAAAATAACAGATCTCTAGCAATAAAATGATCGAAAAAATAGTATAAACAAATCCAAATTAAATTAAAGAAAGATAAAATATGAGTTCCTAAAGAACTTGTTTATATAGTGAACAAATAAATCTACTCTAAGGGGGAGAGTAATTTTTTGATTCACTATACTTCTATTTGTGTACTTCTCTTGTCCTACTAAAAGATATCTGGAACAGTTAATGTCAAAATACCAATCATCTTAGTAAAAGATTTAAGAAAGGTACGAGAGATAAGACAACAATCACCTTTCCTGAGCATTAACCATTGTTTGGTTAAGAAACACTGAACTTGATCTTCGAGAAAATAACCAAAAAATGTTAAAATCCACTTAACACATAAGAGATATCTTCAGTGTAAGTAAATCCTTTTAGCATGAGTAAAATGAATGTCCAACATAATGTTATGACATTATTAGCTCAGCTTGCCTTTTGATAACAATAGCCTTTTGTCACTTTGAGTTTTCTCCTTGCTGATTAGCTTAGAAGAAAATTCATCCTCCTTAAACTTCCAATCATCCTCCCTCTTGAAGAAACTTCTCCATCTGATATGGATCATCCTTACAAACTTGATCAACATATCAAGCTTTAGGACATAGCAGAAACATAGAGTAGATACGTCTTCATTCCCTTAAGACATAAGATCATAAATAAATCTCCTCTTATTTCTTCATAGTTGAAGACTCCCCTCATTCTAGATACAAATCATATAAACAAACTTCCAGCTCATTATGAGAAAAATCTTCAGTTCAAAATTCTTCATAAGAAGTCCATCATCCAATCAAAACAGTAAAAGAAAAAACCATACAATTACTCTTGAGATAAGTAAGGCATTCTGCTCTACAAAGATCCAAGATCTTCACATTCCTAGAATGTTAATACATTGATCTATACACTAATTCAAGCCTTTTCCTTTTAGCATCACATACCTGTTGAAGTCAGCACATGTGTTATAACACAAAGTCACGACATACTGTCAAATTTTTTCAACTCCTGATTGAATTGCCTTCTAAGGAACAGAAAGAAGAAACCCTTCATCAAAAAAACAAGTTTTTAGCAGAGTTGAAACAAAATCCATGCTTTCGTTTTTCTTTAATAGTTATAACTTCCATGTCAAATCTCTTATAGGAGACTTGATTTTCTTCTTCTCGATTAAACACTAAGATGTGCCTTTTGGAGTGGACTTGAGAATTTCCCAAGTATGTTTGACCATCTGAGATAATAAGTCTGAAGTAGAAACCTTATCAATTTATTTGATTATGAAATTGACAACTTCTAAGTCACATAGAGACAACTCATGCTCTCATCTTCAATCTTATCAGAACCATGATTATCCTATCCTGATAATTCTTCCAAAACAATGACTATCCAATGATAACCAGAATACAAACATTTCAGTCTTACACAAGGAACAAAAGTACCTAAAAAATTACTCCATAACGCTCACACATTAGACAAGGTGCCTACTCTGATACCAATTGCAAAATTTCTGGTATAAGCAAGACATGGAAATACATAAATTCCAACATCAGACCAATGTCAAGATAGATGTTACAACATCCATTCTGACATCATAAATAGTTTTATAACATAAACTTAAATAGTAGAATATATAAAGAACACAATGATATGTTAACCCAACTCAGTGTTAACTCACCTACTCTGGGGGCTACCAACCCAGTAAGGAAGTCTATTATAAGCAGTATTAGTTCAAAGATAAACTAGTCTCAATATTACAACTTCTTGCATAATGCCTACCCAATTCTACTTCTACCTAGGTCATCCATAGATCTGAGAAATAGACATCCCACTTCTAATCACTGCAGTGATAAAAGACAAATCCCAGTCAGAGGACTGTCTATAAATTAGTCACAGTCAGAATAACCTGAACAATAAAAACAAGAAGATCACACTTCCAAATTACAATACATAGCTTAGACTCTTGATCAAGAATAATACTTAGAGTTTCTTAAAAGCTTCCTCCAAGAATGATACTCAACTTATTTCTTAAAGGCTTCTGAGTGAGAACAATAAACCAACCACATGTATCGTGTGATACAAGGGTGACAAACATCTACACAATACACAAGACACTCTCAAAATCTAAGACTATTTTCTTTCCCTAATTTTACAATTGTTGAAAAATTAAAAGATACATTAGGTTAGGTCTTCTTTAAATACACTTCTTCAATCCATGGGCTTCGATATTATGAGTCCAAAAGTTTCTTGATCCATAAGTTGATAGTTGTATCTGTTGTGTGGAAAAATCTCCTTAAATCTTGGAACAACCAATACAAAGTTTCCTAATTAGTCTCAATCAACCAATTTAGTAACTAATGCATAGCTAGAGATATAAACTTGTTTCTTCAAACCATTTTTTCCAATTTGGCTTTTTACTTTAAAGTTTTCTTAAAAGATTAGACTCTTGTCAATCCTTGTAGTGATGCGAGCTACTATACTTCTACGATATGTAGTGAAGTGAGATATTTTCCAATTGGATGTTAAACGAGACTTTGTTGATTTTGACATCCAAGCTATATCATTCACTTTAAGATGACGCAAAATCTCCTTTCTCATAATCGTGGCTATTAAGTATGTTTTCCAATCGCATATGATGATGATGTTTCGTATTTTAAAATTAACCAACACACTTGTGTTTTAAAATTTTTAAAGGTGAATTACGAGTAACCTGATCCCCTATTGCACTGAAGGTGGTACATAGGCACTAAAGGTTCACAACCGCGACGGGTGAAAAAATTGTAAAAAAATATTTCTCTTCTCATCTCTACCATCTATTTTTGTATATAACACATATAGACAAAAATACACAAATTTTCAAAGAGGTTCCTGCGGAGTACTGTAGATGTTTAAGGTGCTAATATCTTCCCTTTGCATAACCAACTCCCATACCTAGATTCTTTCCCCCTCTTTTTTGGGTTATTCACTCTTTTCTCATTCCTTTGGAAATAATCAAGCGCGGTGGTGATTTTTATTTGATCTGTGCGAGTTAAGTCAATTCAATGGCTTAGTCTCAACATTTCTACCGCTACAGATACATCACCATCTTTGCTTATTTCTTCATCCTCTGGGGTATGATGTAAAATGTATCCTTATCTAGCCAATCTTTGGTCAAATTTCGAGGTGTTCCATTATTTAATAACCCTCTGATTCGAATGTACAAGACCTGTGTATTCTCGCACCATTCAATCGCAAAGTAATTAAATAGGGGCATCTGTTATACCCCAAATTTACCCGCCTATTTTTATTGTTATCTATAGCCGAGTATCCAGTCATTTAAAAGTCATTAGGTATAGAAATTTAAAATGTCTCTTTGATGTAATAAATAAAACTATTATTTAAAAACAATAAATTTATTTATTTTTCATCTTTGTTCACTTTATATCTATGCTTAATTTTTTTCAACGTTGATTTATTTAGTTTTGTTTATTTAAAAGGCATATTATAGTTTATTTTGAATTATTTATATATTTATTTTAAAATAGAAAATATTATACCATCCTTTTAAATTTTAAATTCTACTTTTTTTTAAAATAATTAACATAGCACAGTTGGTAAGGAAGTATCGATAAGAATATTTAACATAAGGTTGTGAGTTTAATTCTTGTTGTGCTACCTTTTATATTTTATTGTTCTTTAGTGGTTTTCTATTTAAAAAGGATAAAAAAAGACATTTTTAGATTAATTTATTATTATTTTGGTTTTTCATTTTAAGGCTATGTTAAATTTATTTTTTTATATTTCAAATATTTGATTTTTATGCACTTAATAGTTAAATTTGGAAAAATAAATAAAGTATTTTCGAATCAATATCAATATTCGGAATAGTCATAAACAATAATAGATTTAAAATTCTTGTTCACCAAGTTCTGGACCAAATTTCAATCAATTTCCAATCTTCAAAATCATGTAAAAAATAGATCAATCTCACTTGGTGCATTTTTGATATTTTTTGTTACTAACTATTTCTATTTTCTAATTATTTTCAAAATCACAAACATCATATTTTTTATTATTTAAATATTATTTTTCGTATTTCTAATTAATGTATTTTAAAAAATAATTAATTATTTAATTTGATTCACTTTTTTTTATCAAAATTGAATGCAAAAATTATAATAATTACTAAAAATATTATTAATTGTGTTCTTATTGGTCAAGGTATGTCAATTTGTATCATAACTCACTTCTGATTGGTCAGTTTGCTGACCAAGATAAAATTATAAACTTTGGGCTATACTTGGTGTAGACTATTTCCTTTTTGGGGTGTCCTTAACCTAATTTCAAATCTATAAATATGACTCTCTTCACCCTAAATTTTTCATCAGCAACCATTTGGAGACTCAATAATCATTTGCAGATCAATAACTCACTAGAGTTCTCCTAAAAGTTGTTGCTGTTGAAATCGAAGAGTAACAACAACTAAACCCTAAGGTCTCTATTCCATCATCAATCTGAAAAAAGAGGGATCTTGTACCGAAGGAAAAAAGGAGAATCTTGCACCGAAGGAGAAAGGAGAAAAGTCCAAAGAAAAGGAAAATAAGGATGTAGGGAGCAACTTAATTTGGTCATTGTATTCCAGGTTGGTCTTTTATATATCTTTAAGCATGTTTATGAATATTGTATTTGATGTAGATTAGAATTTATTCTTGTTTGAGATTTAATTTGATTGTTTGATTGTTATTTGTTTTATTAATGGTTTACGATACTCGTGTTTTTTTTATTATTATTATTTTTATAAAAAAAAACTTTTTCTCTAATCCTAAAAAGATATTTTTTTATTATTATTATAGAAAAAGATTTTTTTTTCTAAACCTTAAAATTCTTTTTTCTAACTTTAACTTTTCTTCTTATTATTAGTATTGTAATATGGTGAGAGAACTGACTTTTGGTTTTGCATTTTATTATAAATATTGCAGATAGCAAGAGTCGCCACCGACTTTTTTTTTATCCAATAAAGGAAAAGGTGAAAAGAACAGGAAAGACCTTTGAGATTTATCTGAGTTCGGGGGGTAGGTTATGAAAAGGAAAGGTGTTAGCACCCTTTTCATCCGTAATTATCTACAGGCTCTTAATCGCTAGCAAACTTTTGAAAATGCTTTGTGTTTGAAAATATTTTAAAAATCCCTAAGTGCCGCAATTTTGTATTGATTCTCGTATCATTAAGAATTCATACAAAATGTTTGTTTTGAAAATATTTATTGAAAAAAGTGTTGTTTTGTAAACAATATTTTGAAAACAAACATTTTGTATGCACTCTCAACGATACGAGATTCATTACAAAATTTTCGCACTTAGGCATTTTCAAAATATTTTCAATCACTTTGGAAAAGTCAAAATACTTAGAAAATCAAAAGTCAAAATCACCTTGGAAAAGTCAAAATTCTAAATAAGAAATTTTTCCAAATGTTTAAGAAATATGATAAGTTCAGAACTTCTGGCCAGATTTTCACCATGATGCAAGCTGATTCTGGAAGAACTTCTAACACAAGAGTTGTAGATCTCAATGAGATCTAAAACATTGCATAACAGAACTTCTTTTAGAAGTGCTGGGATTTCATGTTATACATCCTT